TTTTGAATTCTTTTTCAGGAAGACTGGTTAAATCTATCTCCCCAGGTTCCTTCTCAGGGGAAGATGTAGCAGATGCCGAAGCTGTCTGGTTTAGTCTTGTCTGGATCATATTTTTTTGCCTTTTCATGTTGACAGGTGCTATTGACTGTCAGCTGGGAGGGCCAAATTTTTCACTTGCTAACAGCCTTTCTTTACTGGGGCAACTGCGACCCCTAGTGGCTTGTGTTGGGTAATTGCGTGTAGACTGGGTCTTTGTGTCTTGCCCTGCTGATATGGAGGAAGCTCCCTTTCTGGCAGCGGGGCCTGCCTTAGGCTGCTTCTCTGCTTTCGCAGCACCTGGAGGGGTAAAAGAGGGGGGGCTGTTTGGCTGTTTACCTCCATGAGGGGTCTCAGAGCTGTTGCCCAGGGGGTTAGTGCACCCAGTTTTCCCTGTAATTTCCAGCCACTGGGCTGTGACCTGTGTTGTTTCCGTCCAGCTGTTGCATCCCTGTCCCTTTATGACTTTCAAAATCACTCACTTTTCTTTGTCACAGGGGCATCAGCTTTGGAACCTGCTCAGAGGTCTTGCTGCCCTGTTTCCCTAGTTTCCAGCCCTCCACGCATGCACTGTGTCTGCACTCTGGTGCGGGTGGCTGGGGCTGGGTGTTTAGCAGTCCTGGGATCCCTCTCCCTCCCACCAGGAGCTGGGGGGAGGCATGCTTGGGTCCCACCGGGCCGGGGGTTGTATCTTACCCCTTTCACCAGGCGCTGGCTCTCACACATGTGGATGTAGTCTGGCTGTTGTCCTGTGTCTTCTGGTCTCTCTTTTAGGATTAGTTGTATTTGTTGTATTTTCAAAAATACATATGTTTTTGGGAGGAGATTCCCACTGTCCTACTCACGCTGCCATGTTGGCTCCGCCTGTCCAATTATTCTTATTTTTAAGACTTGTTTGTTATGATTGCTTTGACTTTACAAAATACATGTCAGACTAATCCAAGCCCTCCTTCAGGTAATACAATACCACTTCAAGGGCAATGCAAGTACCTCAGAAGAGTATCTCTAGTTCCTCCTCCATCCCCTGTAACATTGCTGCCATTCATTTCACTTGTCCAGAGGCTATAATCACTGAAAACTTTGTTGCTGTTATCATTTTGAACAAACCATAATTAAGAATAAGAAAAATGAAAGATTTTATTTTACCTTTATTTATTCCTTCACTACTATTTTTCCTTTGTTTATGAGATCTGAGTTTCTGACCCATATAATTTCCCTTATTTCTGAAGAATTTCTTTTAACACTTTTGCAAGACAGATCTACTGGTGACAAAGTCCCTCATTTTTTGTTTCTCTGAAAAAGTACTTATTTCCTTTACTTTTGGAGGATAATTTCACGGGACCCTATTTCTTCAGCTCCTTTCTCTCTTTCTCCTCTTTCTGTTGTCCCATTATGCTTATGTTACAAATTAGCAGTTATCCCTCAATTCCCGGATATCGATTCTCTTTTCCATCCTTTTTTTAAATATTTATTTTATTTTGGTATGGTTAATGTACAACGGCTTAAACAACATTATGGTTACTAGACTCCCCCTATTATCAAGTCCCCACCACATACCCCATTATAGTCACTGTCCATCAGCATAGTAAGATGATGTAGAATCACTACTTGTCTTCTCTGTGTTATACTGCCTTCCCCATATACCCACCCCTACCTTGTGTGTGCTAATCGTAATGCCCATTTTCCCCCCTTGTCCCTCCCTTCCTACTGATCTTCCCCAGTCCCTTTCCCTTTGGTAACTGTTAGTCCATTCTTGGGCTCTGAGTCTGCTGCTGTTCTGTTCCTTCAGTTTTTCCTTTGTTCTTATACTCCACAGATGAGTGAAATCATTTGATACTTGTCTTTCTCCACCTGGCTTATTTCACTTAGTATAATACCCTCTAGATCCATCCATGTTGTTACAAATGGTAGGATTTGTTTTCTGCTTATGGCTGAATAATATTCCATTGTGTATATGTACCACCTCTTCTTTATCCATTCATCTACTGATTTTCCACCCTTTTTTATCTTTGCTTTTCATTTTGGAAAGTTCCTAGTGCCATGTCTTTGCCCCCAATGACTCTTTCTTTGGCTAAGTCCACACTATTGAGAAGCCAATGAACAGTGTGTTTATGTCTGACATGTCCTTCTGTTCCTTTCTTAGAGCTTCCACCTCACTTTTCACACTACCCATCTGTTCTTGCATGTTGTCTGCATTTTCCATTAGATTCCATAACATAGTAATCATACTTGTTTTAAGTTCCCAGTCTGATCATTTCAACATCTCTGTCATATCTGAATGTTTTAATACTTGTTCTATCATTCAAAACTGTTTTTTGTTTTTTAGCATGTCTTGTGATTTTGAAAGCTGGACACATTGCACTGGGTAAAAATAACTGAATATGCTTTATTTATTTATTTATTTTGCTATTATTAATACACAATTACATAAGCAACATTGTGGTTACTAGATTCCCCCCATTATTAAGCCTCCTCCACATACCCCATTATAGTTACTGTCCATCAGCATAGTAAGATGCTATAGAATCACTACTTGTCTTCTCTGTATTTTCCCAGTGCCCCCCCACTACTTTATGTGTGCTAATCATAATGCCCCTTATATCCCTTCTCCCTCCTTCCTCACCACCCCCCTAGTCCCTTTCCCTTTGGCAACTATCAATCCATTCATGGGTTCTGTGAGTCTGCTGCTGTTTTGTTCCTTCAGTTTTGCTTTGTTCTTATGCTCCACAGATGAGTGAAATCATTTGGTACTTGTTTTCACCTGGATTATTTCACTGAGCATAATACCCTCTAGCTCCATCCAAGTTGTTGCAAACGGCAGGATTTGTTTTCTTCTTATGGCTGAATAATACTCCATTGGATATGTGTACTACACCTTCTTTATCCATTCATCTACTGATGGACACTTAGGTTGCTTCCATTTCTTGGCTATTGTAAATTATGCTGTGATGAACATAGGGGTGCATATGTCTTTTTCAAACTGGGTTGCTGCATTCTTAGGGTCAACTCCTAGGAGTAGAATTCCTCGGTCAAATGGTATTTCTATTTTGAGTTTTTTGAGGAACTTCCATACTGCCTTCCACAATGGTTGAACCAGTTTACATTCCCACCAGCAGTGTAGGAGGGTTCCCCTTTCTCCACATCCTCTCCAGCATTTGTTGTTCCTAGTCTTCTTGATGTTGGCCATCCTAACTGGTGTGAGGTGATATCTCATTGTGGTTTTAATTTACATTTCCATGATAATTATCGATGTGCAGCATCTTTTCATGTGCCTGTTGGCCATCTGAATTTCTTCTTTGGAGAATTATCTGTTCACATCCTCCACCCATTTTTTAATAGGGTTATTTTGTTTTTGGTGTTGAGGAGGATGAGTTCTTTATATATTTTGGATGTTAACCCCTTGTCAGATATGCCATTTACAAATATATTCTCTCATCCTGTAGGATGCCTTTTCATTCTGATGATACTGTCCTTTGCTGCACAGAAGCTTTTTAGCGTGATGTATTCCCATTTGTTCATTTTTTATTTTGTTTCCCTTGCCCAAGGAGATGTGTTCAGGAAAAAGTTGCTCATGTTTATGTCCAAGATATTTTTGCCTATGTTTTTTTCTAAGAGTTTTATGGTTTCATGACTTACATTCAGGTCTTTGATCCATTTTGAGTATACTTTTGTATATGGGGTTAGAGAGTGATCCAGTTTCATTCTCTTGCATGTAGCTGTCCAGTTTTGCCAACACCCGCTGTTGAAGAGGCTGTCATTTCCCCATTGTATATCCATGGCTCCTTTATCATATATTAATCAACCATATATGCTTGGATTTATATCTGGGCTCTCTAGTCTGTTCTGTTGGTCTATGGATCTGTTCTTGTGCCAGTACCAAATTGTCCTGATTACTGTGGCTTTGTAGTAGAGCTTGAAGTTGGAAAGTGAGATCCTCCCTGCTTTATTCTTCCTTCTCAGCATTGCTTTGGCTATTCAGGGTCTTTCGTGGTTCCATATAAATTTTACCACTATTTGCTCTAGTTCACTGAAGAATGCTGTAGGTATTTTGATAGGGATTGCATTGAATCTGTAAATTGCTTTAGGCAGGGTGGCCATTTTGACAATATTAATTCTTCCTATCCATGAGCACAGGATGTGTTTCCATTTATTGGTATCTTCTTTAATTTCTCTCATGAGTGTCTTGTATTTTTCAGAGTATAGGTCTTTCACTTCCTTGGTCAGGTTTATTCCTAGGTATTTTATTCTTTTTGATACAATTGTGAATGGAATTGTTTTCCTGATTTCTCTTTCTGCTAGTTCATTGTTAGTGTATAGGAATGCAACATATTTCTGTGTATTAATTTTGTATCCCACAACTTTGCTGAATTCAGATATTAGATCTAGTAGTTTTGGAGTGGATTCTTTAGTGTTTTTATGTATAATATCATGTCATCTGCCAACAATTAATATATGATAAAGGAGTCATGGATATACAATGGGGAAATGACAGCCTCTTCAACAGCGGGTGTCGGCAAACTGGACAGCTACATGCAAGAGAATGAAACTGGATCACTGTCTAACCCCATATACAAAAGTAAACTCAAAATGGATCAAAGACCTGAATGTAAGTCATGAAACCATAAAACTCTTAGAAAAAAACATAGTTCGACTTCTTCCTTACCAATCTGGATTCCTTTTATCTCTTTGTGTTGTCTGATTGCCATGGTTAGGACCTCCAGAACTAGGTTGAATAAATGTGGGGAGAGTGGGACATGTTACCATTTTTCTATGTGTGCAGCCTGCCGTTTCCTCATTAAGTCATGGGAGCCCTCCATTGCATTGTGGTCTGGGCTGTCCTAGGACCAAGCATGTCCAAAGCCAGCCATGGTGGGGTCAGGACCAGTGTGGGGGAGGAGTCAAGACCTGAGCCAGTGCCAGGGTCAGGGCCTGGGGCAGGGTGGGGTCAGGGCAGGGTTAGGGTCATGGCCAGGAGAGGGAGGGTTGAGGGTGCTGTGTCAAGGCCCAAGGTCCAGCCAAGCTTGGGACAGGGGCAGGCTACCATCAAGGACCACGTGGAGTTGGGACCTAAGAACAGGATGCTCTGGGAGGAGTCAGGGTGGGGTCAGATGGGTTGGGCTAAGGTCGACGCCTTGGCAATGGGGGTGGAGGCACGGAGACCCCAAGGCAGAGGCAGGCCAGTGGCTCTGCTCTGGCTACTGCTCCTGCCTACAGCTCTGTGAGAGTCCTTCTCTGTGGCCCTCAGCCCCACTCCAGGAGAGCCTGTGACACCAACCCCAGGGCAGAGGTGGTTGGAGGCAGCTGGAGTGGCAGGTACATTAATTGGTGGGGTCCTGCCTGCCTGGGTTAGAGCTGCAGCTTCTGTCCACATCCATGATTCAGGCTGCTCCATCACCTACTCGACTTGACCCACCCTGCATGGGGGGCAGGGCTGGGCCATTTGGAGCAGAGCTGGGCAGGTTGTGGGGGGGCTGGGCAGGTGTGGGTGAGCTGGGCAGATTGGGGGGCAGCTGGGCAGTTTAGGGTGGGACATGGTCAGGTGGGGTGCTGGGCAGGTGGCAGGCCACTGGGGCAGCCTGGGTGCTGAATAAGGGGAACCTGGGCTGCTAAATAAGGGGCCCTGAGTCATCTGTCCCCCTATCCACCAACCCCAACCTGGATGTCTCATGGAAGACAGGTCTGGGCTTCCCCCTCTCCTGAGCCTCCCGGGTGTGAGCCTGACCTAGGCTTTCTTCATCACTCACCCTTCTTTGAGAACTGGAGAATCCTGAGTCAGAGAGGACTGTCCCTAGAACATGCAGCAGGCCCTCTGCCTGTGAGCTCCCTCCCTGAAATCCTGGGGTGAGGTGGAGGGACTCAGAAGCCCCTCAGAGGCATGATCTGAGGCCAGTCAGACTGCCAGCCTGTGAGCCTTCAGTCTTAGGTCTGCAGAGCAGGTGGCCCCATGTGCAGTGGAATGGATGTCTGCCCTACGCCCAGCCCTCTGCAGGCCCAAGCATCCTGTCTCCCTGGGGATGCTGCCGTGAGCTGCTGTGGCCACCCCTGGTCCTCCTTGCTCCATCCCACCAGAGCCCTGGGCCCTCACCCCTGTGGGCTGCTCGACTATGCTTGGCAGTCCATTCCTCAGCTGCAGCCCATCCCTATGGCCAGGCCACTGGACCCTTTGCCTTGGTTTACACATCTGTGAAATGCAGGGATCTGTCCCAGTGTCATTTGGGGTACCAGTGGTCCCTCTGTCAGAGGTGGAGTGGGGAATGTCTCCACAGTGTGCAGAAAGCCCAAGCTTATGGGGAGGGTCTCTGGTGGCCAGGATGTGGTGGCCGGCCAATGGTGGTGGCAGGCCAGCCTTTTGTACCGGGTGGGCACATCTGTGGAGCTGTCCTCATCGACACCCACTGGCTGGTTTCCACCACCCTCTGCTTCCGCAAGTGAGTCCTCCTCCCTGGGGCGGGAGGTGCAAGAGGCGAAGGAGAAGAGGGATGACTGGTGCAGTGCCAGCTCCTCTGGGCTTGGCTCTGGGGCAGTCGGTGGCCTCCAGACACATGTCATCCTGTCTTTGACCCACATCCCCGCCATGGGGAGTGTCCTTCCTGCTCACCTGCCCAGACCCGCTGCATCCTCAGTCCTCAGCACCTGTACCTGTGCCCCAACAATGATGTCCCTTGGAGATGGGCAGTGCCTGTCCTGGCCACCACATGCTGGGGACCTGCTCTTTGCCACCTCAGAATGTGGCTTCTCCTCAATGTCTCCAGAGGGCACCAGGCTCTAGGCAGGGACCTGAGGCTGCACGTGCAGCAAGCAGCTGGATGATTGTTCCCATCCTCTGCAAGACTGCCAGGTTGCATGGGTTGGAGGTGGGGCCCACTGACCTTGGATGGCAATATGGTGCTCTGGGCCTGGCCCACTGCCCAGCTTCTGGATGCATAGGGAGGGTCACCAGGGGGCAGGGCCTGGCAGCTCAGGTCAAGGAGCTGGAGCTCAGCCCTTGTTGGCTTTGAGAGCCCAGAGTCCTGCCAGCACCTACTCTGCCACACTCCACGGTGCCCTCTGTGGTACTGGGGTGGGACATGAGCCTGCCTGCCCATGTCTCCATCCTATCAGGAGGGAAAGCCCAGTGTGGGTGAGAAGGGCAACCATAGAGAGGGAGGGAGAGGTGTGGCACCCCATCAGCATGGGGCTGGCATGGAAGAGTTTGGGCAGAGAGAGTGGGGATGGGCTTTCCAGGTGGTAAGCCTACAGTCAGGAAAGGGGACAGCTGCCACTTCTGTTCAGGGAGCAAGATGACGCTCCATTTCCTGGCTCATATGCTCATTCAACAAATCTTTTGTGAGTGCTTACAACCCAGTGGGCAAGTAGCCCTGAGGCAGGGGAAGTGTGGGGCCAGAGGGTGGTGGGGAGGCTTGGAGAGGGTCAGGTTAGAGCTGGGATGGAGCCAGAGCCCCCTAGTATAGAATAAAAGTTCTTGATGAGCTGGTCTCACCAGAGCCCTTCCAGCACCAAGTCTCCACTTGGATTCCTGGTGTGCTGGGGAAGCGATGCGCCTTGAAGGTATGAGTAGAATATCGGTCAGCCTCAAGAAAAGAGGGACCTCTGACCATTGGGGGCATGGAGGGACCCAAGCTGCCTGGCCTCCTGCAGGTGGGGGGACCCGAGGTGGTGGCAGTTAGATGATGAGGCACAGGGGACCGGACTTGCTCAGAGACGACCGCTGCGGTGGGCCCTTGCTCCCCAGCAAATCCCATGCCCTGGAGGACGACCAGGTTCTGCTGGGAAGCACCCGGCTCACAGCCAGCACACCCGCACAGTGCCTGTGAGCCACGTCATCACTCACCGAGACTCTGAGGAGTTCTGCCCCTCCGGGAACGACAGCCCTGCTGCAGCTGCTCCTGCCTGTGGACTTCACCTCCTCCATCACCCTCGCCTGCCTCCCAGCCCGTGACACCCCGCTGCCCCGTGCCTGGTCCTGCTGGACAACCAGTTGGGGAATGCTCAGTGAGGGTGGTGAGGGGGTGTTGGGGGAAGCGCGACTCAAGCCGATGGGGCCCCCAGACAGACAGAGGCCACCGGGTCGAGCCCCCGTGCCTTGTTTCCAGAGGACTGGCCCATTCCAGCTCTAGTTCTGAAAAGGGGGTGATTCCACAGCTTCAGAGTGCCCCAAGCCCAGGGCTGAAAGTCTGGGAATCTTTGACTTTTGGAATCAAGAACGTGGCTACTAGGAGTCATCCTGGTTCTTGGTTCCAAGGTTGTGATCAACCTCAGATCTGAGATGACCTGACTCAACATGGAGGTCATGCTTGGGGCTCCACCCCCTGATTTCCCATTGCCTAGCGAGTTCCTTTGGAAAAGTGGGAGGAGAACATGTCGTGGCTCCCGCCTCCCGAGCCCACGTGGTCAGGGTGGGCAGATGCGACGTGGACGTGTTCCCTCTCTCTGAGCCTCGCTCTGCCCCCACCCAGCTCTGCTCTGCCCACAGGGTCGGTGGGTGAACTGAGTAACCCAGGAAGTTGTTGCTCTGCTAGGCTGAAAGAGGAGAAGCATAGGCAAAGACAGGAGCAAGTGTTTACTAAAGAAAGGAGTGTCAGTGGTTTCGGGAAATGCTCCTGGCGTAAAGTTAGGGGCAAACATTCATGTTTGTAAATGTTTGTAGGGTCACAATTGGTACAGTGTTTCTCAACAGAGGGGCTGCAGGTGTTTAGGACAGTCCATGTCTTTGTTAGGTGCAACATGTCAACGTCCCTGGTCCTGACCCACTGAGTGCCAGAGGCTGTCCCCAATCCTAGGCCACCAAGGCCCCTGCACTCTTTCACACACAGCACGCCCCTCACGCCCGCACACATGCAATGCTCACACCACACACACAAACCCCATACCACACAGACGCACACACGGGGCAGCGGCACCATCCTGTTTTACTATCCTACCCTGTGCACCTTGCTGGGCTCTCCACCAGTGCCCCTGGCCCACCAAGCCTCCATTTCTTGCCTTTGCCTCCAAGCTGGACCCCCAGCTACCCATCACATGCTCTGTGTTCACAGCCGCAGAGCTGTCTGGCCATTTGCTTTAAACCAAGCATCACGCCTCTCCCTCCCCTCCCCTCCATGCCTTCTCATCTGCATTCAGAAGAAAGACCAAATACCCTCCTTGGCCCCCACCCCTCTCGGCTCAATGTCCTCCTGCATCCCTCACCTGCCATCCCAGCCTCCAGGCCTCCTTGCCTCGGGGCCTCTCCCTCACCTTCTCTTGCCTCGCCAGCTCTCCCCCATTGCTGGCTCCCCCCATTCCTTTTCATAGTTCATTCCTTCTGTCAGCTCATTGCGTGAGAGCAGAGACAACCCTTCCATCCCACCTCCGCGTTTCTGTCCTTCGTGCCCCATCTAGGTCTGGACTCATCTGCTGCTTCCTTACCTAACTCACCCTGTGCCTCTGCTGTCATCAGTGTCTGAGAGATGCCTGGCTCCAGGACAGGGAGGGATGAGTGTGGAAGCCGGAAGGAAGCAGTGTGGGCAGGAGAGCAGATGGGCAGGTGGGGTTGGGTGGTGGGTGGGCCCGCAGGCGGGGAGTGATGGAGGGAAGGACAGGCAGACTCAGGTGGGCATGTGTGTGGAAGGGTGGCTGGGGCATGCGGATGGGGAGGCAGGTGGAGGGAGGGGTGGGAAAAGGCCAGCATAGACAGATGGAGGATGGACGGGAGGACGGTGGCTAAGCTCTGATGGATGGTACCTGTCGGTGGATTTTCCTTCTTTGTGGAATAGGAGGCCTGGGGCCTATCAGTAGGAGGATGTGGAGGGGGTGGAACAAGAGGCAAGCTTGTTAAGGATCCCTACTGAACTCTGCGGTGCCGGGGTCAGGTAGCAGGAGGGCAGACGGTGCAGGGAGGGCTCCTCTGCCATGCAACAGACATGGCTCTTCTCTTCACCGGCCTCCATTGTTGTCCTCACAGCAGACCTGCTCCCACCCTTCCACCTCCAGGAGGGCAGGGTGGGCCTCATGGAGAACAAGCTCTGTGACACCTTACCAGGACAACGACTTGGCAAAGACAGGCCCTACTTTGTGTATGAGGAGATGCTGTGTGCTGGGGACTTGCTGACTGGGAAGGCCATGTGCCAAGTGAGTGAGCCTATGTCTGTTCTTCCTTCGTCTGTCCTCAGGGCCTCAGTTTTCCCAGGCTGGAGGGCCTGGGTCACCTCTTCTGTCTTTGTAGAGACCCCAGGGCCCCGTTTTGCCCTCTTGTGCCTTCCCTGACTCCACCCCTCAGCAGTGTCCCCCAGACTGGCCCCTAAACCTGCCCTACATGAGGGCATCTGCTGGTAGAAGCCTCATACAGCATCTAGTTTTGAGGCATATTTTAAACATGTTATTGAAGTGTGACATACATACAAAAGAGTACATGATTTCCTAAGTGTAGTTTGGAAAATGCTCACATACTGGCACAACATGTGACCAACTCCCCAAATGCACCTTGCCCCTGCCTGTCACTACCCCTCCAGGAATACACCATCTTCCCTGTTAACACCTTCAACTAGATTCTGAGTTCTTTGTAAGTGGGTTGATTTCCGGTTGGCTGTCTTCACATCATGTCTGTGCAGTTTGTGCACACTGTTACCTGTGGTTGTGGTTTGTTGGTCCTCATTGCTCAGTAGGACTCTGTTGTGCGCACTGAATTTTAGGGCCAGTGCTACTCTTGATGGGTATTTTAGTAGCTTCCATGTTTTCCATTTCATTTCATTTACAAGTGTCTCCTGTTTTTCATATTCCACTTCACAGAATCCCATGAGTAGACTTGTTGGGCTAAAAGATATGAGGATGTGCAGCTTTTCATATTTCCCAGTGTCTGCACAGCACCAGCATCAGCCCCACCCCGTCCAGCACCGGAAGAGTTTATGTCTTTGCCCACTCTTGGCACTTCCCCTCTTGTCTCATTTTGGTAGGGGTGTAGTGATACCTTTTTGTGGTTTTAGTTTATTTTAATTAATTTTTTCCTAGTGACTGACTGTGTTAAGTGTATTTTCCTGTTGTTGTCATTGGTTCTCTTCTTCTGTAAAGTTTCTGTTCATTTTTTTTCCCTGCCCTTTTTCCATGGAGTTATCTGTATTCTCCTTTTAGTGTTCCTTTTTTTTTTTTTTTTTGCATATTCTGGATGTGAGCCCACTGCTGGACATTTGGCTGTGAATCTCTCTCTCTCTGCTTTCTGTAATGCCACATTTCATAGGTGGGCACCAGGCCCAGAGAGGGTAGGAGTAGCCTAAAGTAAGCAGCATGCTTGGGTCTTAACTCAGCCACATGGGTTCTGACACTGAGTACATCCTGGCCTCCACAGCACCACTGCCAGGTCCAAACACCCCAGCTGGTATCTGCAGGCACCCAGCAGCCACCCAGGTGACTTCAAGGAGGTATCCATGCATAAGCTCTTGCACTGATGGGCAGTAGAACCTGAGACATTGCTCTGCCGCATGTTCCTGCCCTTAGCCTCGGGCAGTCTCGGCACCTTCTGACCTGCATTCTCATTCTTAGTATGGAGTCCTCAGGCCTCCCTCAGGGGCTGCTGAGAGGATTGTGCAGTGGGTTGAATGGTGTCCCCCCAGCTCATGTCCACTTGAAAACTCAGATTTGACCTTATTTAGAAATAGGGTCTTTGCAGATGTGATTAGGTGAGAATCTTGAGAAGAGACCATTCTGGGTTTAGAGTGGAACCTAAACCCAATGACTGGCCTCCTAATAAGGAGAGGGAAAGACACAGAGACACCTGGTTTCAGACATCTGTCTTCTGGAACAGTGAAAGAATAAATTTCTGTTGCTTTTTAAGCCACTCAAGAGTGATAATGTGTTATTGCAGCCCAAGGAAGTGCACAGAAGAGGGCAGGACGTGCCCGGCACTGGGAATCCTGGGTGGGCTCCATTTCTAGTTAGTGTTGCAGTTTCATCTGTCTTCTTAGAGCTCTCCCAGAGTCCAGGAAACTGCTGGAACCCTTTCTACCTCTCCAGACAGGCCTAGAATCCAGAGCAACATCAGCAGATACAAGGCTCATGCATGAAGCACTGGGGCCTAGAGGGAATAGGGACCAGGCATCTTCCTGGCCTCAAACAGCCAGGGGCAAGCATACTGTGGGGAGGCCCAGGGCACTCCAGGTGAGGATCACCAGGGGGAAGAGTTGAGGTAATGATGGTGTGTCCCTGCACTCCAGGGGACCCGTATGTGAGTTTCTTGGGGCTGCTATTTTGCTACTTTCAAACTGGTCAGCTAAAACAACCCATGTTCATTCTCTTACAGTTCTGGGGGCCCCAAATATTAGGTCAAGGTGCAGACAGGACTGGCTCCTCCTGCAGATCTAAGGAGAATGGGTCTGTGCCTTTTTCAGCTTCTGGGGTGCCCCATGCTTGACTCGTGGCCCTTCTTCCAGCCTCTGCCTGTCACCACACCTCCTTCTCTGACTGGCCCTGCCTGCCTCCTTCCTTGTGGTTACAGGGGCCCACCCACAGAATCTAGACCCACCCACAGAATCTAGACCCACCCATAGAATACATTCTTGAGATCATCAGCTGAACCACATCTGCAAAGTCCCTTCTGGCCCATAAGGTGACATTGTCACAGGTTCCAGGAATGAGGATGTGCATCTGTAGGGGTCACTTTTGGACACCCACATGTGGCCCTTTTCTCTCCCTCAAGCTGCCCTTTTCCCAGCCTTCCCTCTCTGCTATAGCTCTTCCTTCTTCATTCCTGGGAACAGGGCCTGCTCATGTTCCTAGGCCTCCATTTTGCATCTTCTGAGCCTCTGGCCATCACAGCCACCTGTCCTGGAGAGCCCAGAGGCTCTGCTGCTTGACCTCTGCCTCCCTTCCCCAAAGACTCCTCCAGACAGCACAGTACCAACTTTCACCACCTCCACCTGGGTGTGTCTCACTGTAAGCTGTGTGGCCAGTGCCCCCAACAGCCATGGTCATGCAGCAACCCTGGTGGCCCTGAGTCCCCCTCTCAATCTGCTCCTGGTCTCTTCCCCACCTGCCTCTCCGTGCCGGAGACTCGGCGGCTCCTTCTCACCCTGCTTCCTTCTCTCTGTAGCCTGCTCCTCCCGGGCTGATAAGAAAAGCTCACACCACAGGCCCCTTCCAAATATCATCCCAGATCTCTTTCTGCCACCCCAGCCCCTCCCTATCGTGATCGCCCACCTTCGTCCCTGAGCACCCTCCCAAAGGGCCCCCTCTAGCTTGTACTGGCACTGTTCCTTCTCCACAGCCACCGGAGGGGCTCATCGCATATGATTCTCCATGGGGGCAAACACAAGCCCACGTCAGGCCCTGTGGCAAGTCCCAACCCCCTGGCTCTCTGCACAGCCCCTCTGCTCTTCCTCCAGCCCCCACCCCCACCCTGCTCATTTGCACTGGCTGCAGCTCCAGCTGTTCCTCTGTCAAAAGCCAAGTTGTCTCCTGTTGGGAGTCTCAGCTCAGGAAAGCCTTCCTTCGCTGCCTGAGGAGGGGCCTTTCCCTCCCCAGGCTGCCTGCTCCATCCTGACAATGGCTGTTTCCATGGGTCCAAGCTGGTCACAGTGGGCTTATCGCCTTGTTGACACAAGCACCACGAGGGAGGGGCCCTGTGCCTTTGCCTGTGTGTTTCCAGGTGGGGGGACTGCCCTGCATGCCAGATGCCCAGGGCCTGTGGGTAGGCTCCTGCAAGTGCAGTCAGGGCCCTGCTCTTCGGCTGACCCAGTGAGGGACTCCGATGATGGTCCTGCCCTGGCAGCATTTCAGGATTCCTGTAAACCGCAACAGCGCTAGGGACCCCTGCCCACTCCCCCACATATGGGCTATCACTGCCAGGCCTGAGCATAGGCATTTTCTGAAGGTGTTTAACTAAGAAACAGAGAAAAGGCCTAAATAAATGAAGTGGGAAGAGGGCCAGTGGGGGCACGCAGCTGCCCCTCAGGCTGTACCCAGAGCGGGGTCTGTGGGGGCTCTCTCCCGGCCACCCAGCCCGTGCTGCTTGCCCCACTAGGCCTCCAGCAAGTGTGTCATCCTGGGTCACCAGCCCTCCTGGGCACAAGAGCAGAGGGCAGAGTCCATTTGTTGATAGCTGAAGATCCCTGATCACGCTGAGGCCTGTCAGGAGCTTCCTGAAGTGTGACCCTGGGGATGCCACATGACTGGTGGGACTCACAGTGGACGCAAGTCTGTGGACTTCCACAGATTCTCAGGAGCTCCACATGCCACACGCATTCGCAGACCTGGCTCCGCAGTCCTCACCAACTCCCCTCTCTGTGTAGGGTAACTCTGGGGGACCACTGGTCTGTGAGGCAACCGTCCCTAGTGCCTGGGTTCTGGTGGGGCTGGCCAGCTGGGGCTTGGACTGCCAGAACCCCACCCACCCCTGTGTCTTCACCAGGGTTGCCTACTTTGCCAGCTGGATTGACAAAGTCCAGAGCCTCAACCCTGCCCCTGGCCCTGACACCGCCCCTCCCCAGGCCTAGTCCCCACACCAGTCTCGGCAGGCTGCTGGCTCCCCCAGGCCCTGCACAGACCCCGTGCTGCCACATACCTGGCTCTGGCTCCCGCCGGTGCTCATGCTCAGGTGACCACCAAGTCACTCTGCTCCTGCTCTCTGCCTCAGGCCCCTGGCCCCTCACTGGCACCTTCCATACCACCCCTCTGCCAGCCCACTGGCTCTCAGTGGCTCTTCTCCTTGGCTTTCCTGTCCATCAGCTGCCACCCCTAAAACAAGCCCAGGAAAACAAAACCAAACCGAATAAAACACTCACCCTGCTCCTGTCCTGGGGCCTACTGCACTCCTCAGCACTTGCTCAGTCCCTGGCAGGCTGTCATATGCCTCCTGGGCAAGCACACAGGGCCTGTCAGGGACATCCTTCTGGGACTAGGGCAGGGCAGGCAGCCAAGGCCACAAGCCAGGAGAACAGGTGTCCACTCACAGATGCTGCTTCTGCTGTGGGGAGCACACAGGCCTTCAGAAGACATGCAGCAGGCAGCTTAAATGCCTGCAACTTCTTGTCCCATAGTGTGGGGGCTGGAAGTCCAAGATGATGCTGGTGGGGCTTGTTCCTCCTGAGGCCTCCCCCCTGGGCAGGTAGACTGTCTTCTCCTTGTCCTCACATGGTTGTCCAGCTGTGTGTGTCTGTGTCCTGAGCTTCATTTTTTTAAGGACACTGGTCAGACTGTACTGGGGCCCACCCATTTGATCTCTTTTAATGTAATTACCTCTTGAAAAAACCAACTTCCAAACAGTAATATTCTCAGGTTGTGGGGTTAGGACTTCAGCATGCGAATTTGGAGACACAGTTCAGCACATAATAGGAAATATTTTACCAGGTGTCTACAGTGCAGGGGAGCAAGAGTGTCCCCCAAAGTAGAGAAACCTCCATCCTAGGTTTTGAGGAGGGGAGACTGAACCCAGTGGGAGTGGAGGGAGATTCCCAGAGCACAGGGAAGGGGCTCCAGCCTGCAGCTAGAGGGCTTTCAGTGGGCCTGGGAGGGTGAGCTGGAAGTAGACAGAGGAGGCCGGAGGCCAGGCTGAGGGCTGAGGTTCAGGCCATCCATCCTCAGACCTCTGCTCCTAGAGCCACTTCCCAGCACTCCCCTCACCTGCCCCCATGGCCACTCTCTCCCCAGCTTGCCCCCTCCCTTCCCCCAACCCCATGAAACTACTCCCTTCTGTCCAAAGCCTCAAGCCAGCCTGTCCTGCAGCACCCACATACCCTCAGCAGTTGGAGCCCAGTGTCCCCTTTCCTGGTTAGCTGACCCAGGACTTAGTGTCTGTGCAGTAGCCCTCAAAGCTGTGTTCTAGGCCCCCAATCTGCCTGAAACAGGGCCCTTGTGCATCCTACAGGACCCCAGCAGGCCCCGCAGTTCACCTGCCCCAGCCTTTCAGGACTGCCAATAAAGTGGGAATGCTCCCATTTAGCTCATGTCCAGTGAAGATCAAATGCCACTCAAAGAGTTCAGTGCAAATTCTTTCCAATCCTGGCATTGCCTAAATATCCTGGACCCTCACTGGCACAAATGGTCCCACATGCCCATTAATGCCGGGATCCCACTGGCTGGAGCTAGGGACTCATGCAAGAGCTCCCTTCCCAAGATGATCTTGGGAAGCCTCAAGAAAGTGTCTTTCCAGTGTCCACACCTCTATGGTCATGGCTGGCAGTCCCTACCTCTGGCTGTCCCTCTAGCTGCATGCCCACCAGTGAGGTACCACTATGTGTAGCTGTGCGCCCACAACTAGCATCAGCCCTTAAGAGCAGCAGTCTCTGGAAGGGAGAAGATGACTATTCCCTTCCTTGGTGGTAAATTCAGTTGCAGAGTCTCAGCAGGGTTGGTGACGACCCTGGATATCAGTGAGTTACTGAGACAGCATGTGGCTGACACACATTTTCTATAAGGTCAGGTCAGGTATTTTTTCCTCTGGCTTCTTTCAAGATCTTCTCTCTCTCTTTGATTTTGTGCAGTATGAATAGAACCTGAGTAGGTGTAGATTTTCTTTTTATCCTGCCTGGCATTCCTTCAGCTCTCTGCATCTGTGGTTTGGTGGCTGTCAGTAGGTTTGTAAAATTCTCAGTCATTATTGCTTCAAATATTTGTCCTTTTCCTTTCTCTCTTCTCCTTCTGGTATCCCCACTATTCATATGTTACCTCTTTGTAACCATCCCACAATTCTGGGATATTTTGTTTTGTCACTTTCATTCTTTCTCTTTTCATTTCACTTTTGGAACTTTCTGTTGACATCCCTTCAAGCTCACAGATTCTTTCTTGAAGAAAAACAAGGATAACAATCCATCTGACTTCTCTTCAGAAACCATGCAAACAATGGTTTACAGTGGAGTGCAATATTTAAAATGGTGAAATAAAAAGAGCTGTATACAGCAAATGAAAAGAATTCTGTGTCTGGCAAAACTGTTGTTCAACAGTGAAGGAGAAATAAAGACTCTCAAACAAATAAAACTGGATTGTTGCCAGTAGTAAGCCTGCCTTGTAAAAATGCTAAAAGAAGTTCTACAGAGAGAAGGTCAGAAATTCAGATCAACACAGAGCAAGGAAGAATGGTATAGAAGGAATAAGTGAAGGTAAAATAAGAACTTTTCTTTCTTGTCTTAACAGTTCTAATAGCAATTTGTTCAAAATAACAACAATGTAGTTAGTGACCACAGCTTATGGATAAGTGAAATAAATAACAGTAACATTATAAGGAAGAGAAGGGGAGACTTGGGACTACCTTGTTATGATGTACTTGCACTATCCATGAAGCAGCATAATGGCCTTTTAAAGTGGACTTGGATTAGTTGTAAATTCATAATGCAGAATCAAGGGCATCCACTAAAATGTAAAGAAAAAAGAAGTACACTTGAAATATTGAGAGGAGAGAAAATAGAAGTATATAAAATGCTTAATTAAAATCAGAGAAGATGAAAAAGAAACACTGGGTGACAAACAGCAAATGATAACAAATATGGTATCCAACTGAATCAATAATCACCGTAAACATCAGTGGTCTAAGCACACTAATTAAGAGACAGGATTGTCAGACTAAATAAAAAGGCAAGACACAACTATGTGCTGTCTATAAGAAAACCACTTTCAAGATATCCCTATTTCCATCCTGATGGTATTAAATTCAACTCACTAAGATAGAAATGATTGTACCTTAAGTCTCTATAGGACAAGAAACATTTCAGAAGCATTAAAAAATAACTAAGTGAAATATATCACTTTGTACCAGGTGCACAGAGGAGCAACTGACTGGTTGCCTGCTTTATTTTGTTTAATATTTTATTTTGAAGTAATTATAGATTCACAAGAAGTTGCAAAGATAGTACAAAAGGATCTCTGTATGCTTCATCTAGGTCCCCGTGGTAGTGATATATTACATGATTATATGATGACATCCAATCCAGGAAACTGCCATTGAAACAGTCTGTAGGTACAGTTCTGTGTCGTTTCATGACGTGAAGATTCAGGTAATCACACTGCAGTCAAGATAGAGTTTCCATCGCCATGAAGGTCTTCATGCTGCCCCTTTCACGTTCATACTCAACTCCTCTCCACACCACCCATTTAATTCCTGACAACCACTAATTTGTTCCCAAACTCTAGTTTTGTCATTTTGAGACTATTTTATCACTTGAATCAAAAAGTGTGCAACCTTCTGAGATTGGCTTTTTCATTTGGCATGATACACTTGAGACTCACTAGGTTGTTGCTATATCAATAGATTGTTCTTTATTGTTGAGTTTATTCCTGGCATAAATGTACTGCTGTTTGCTTAACCACTCACCTATTGAGAAGAAGTTTCATTGTTTCCAACACTTGGCTTTTAAAATAAAGATGCTATAATATACCATGTATGAATTTTTGTGTAATCTTAAGTCTTAATTTTTCTGGGATAAATGGCTACAAATGTAATTGCTAAGTTACATCATAAGTATATATTTAGTTATTTTAAGAAACAGCTAAACTGTTTCTCTGTCACTTTGCAACTCCACTAGGAAAACTGTGAGGAATCTGTTTTCTTGGCATCCTCACTGGCATTTGGTAGTGTCATTAGTTTCTTTTTCTTTATTAAGGTATTTTTGATACACACTCTTATGAAGGTTTCACATGAAAAATCAATGTAGTTACTATATTTACTCATTTTATCAAGTCCCTACCCATACCCCAATGCAGTCACTGTCTATCAGAGTAGTAATATGCCAGAGTCACTATTTGCCTTCTCTGTGCTACACTGTTTTCCCCATGATCCCCCACACCATGTGTACTAAACATAATACCCCTCAATCCCCTTCTCCCTCCCTCCCCACTCGCCCTCCCACACCCCTCCCCTTTGGTAACCGCTAGTCCCTTCTTTGAGTCTCTGAGTCTGCTGCTATTTTGTTCCTTCAGTTTTGCTTTGTTATTATACCTCACAAATGAGGGAAATCATTTGGCATTTGTCTTTCTCTGCCTGGCTTATTTCACTGAGCATAATATCCTCCAACTCTATCCTCTTGTTGCAAATGCTAAGATTTGTTCCTTTCTTATGGCTCAATACTATTCTATTGTGTGTAGGTACCACATCTTCTTTATCCATTCATCTACTGATGGACAATTAGGTTGCTTCCATATCATGGCTATTGTAAAGAGTACTGCGATAAACATAGCAGTGCATATGTCCTTTTGAATCTGAGTTGTATTCTTTGGGTAAATTCCAAGGAGTGGGATTCCCAGGTCAAATGGTATTTCTATTTTTAGTCTTTTGAGGAAACTCCATACTGCTTTCCACAATGGTTCAACTATCTTACATTCCCACCAGCAGTGTAGGAGGGTTCTCCTTTCTCTGTATGCTCGCTAGCATTTGTTGTTCTTAGTCTTTTTGATGGTGGCCATCCTTACTGGTGTGAGGTGATATCTCACTGTTGTTTTAATTTACATTTCTCTGATAATTAGTGATGTGGAGCATCTTTTCATGCATCTGTTGGCCATCTGAATT